ATTTCTCGATACTATTTGAAGGTTGCCTCTAATTTGATTGTTTAGAGCCTAGGCTCTATACAAACTGCACCCTTTTTAAAATAAGAGGAAAGCCTTAATTCGTCATTGTAAGAAAAGGGAAGGTTAGAAAATATCCGATGGACTGTTTACCGCATTGTTTTCGTACGTGCTTTAAAGATGGAGCTTTGGTGCCATCACCCTCTCTGACAGTACGATGAGAGGAGGGTCAGGGGATAATGAAACACGTGGCAGACTGGCACTACTTGTTAACGACTGTGTTTGTGGGTGGCCCATTTGCAATAAAAGGCACTCTCTCCTCTCTCTTACCTAGTGTCAGAAAGTTTGACTCGGGCCTAGTTCTCAGTCCGGGCCGAGCAATCTGGAATGAGTAGTAGTGAGTAAAGTAGCAGCAAATAAAAGTTAAACGATTGGAAAAAATATAAATTAAAAAAATAAAAAATATATATTCAAAGTAAGATTAAGCAATGCCCTTCAAAATGAAGTTAAAAAAGTAGTAAAAAAAATAGCTTTTAAAAAATCATTTTGTAACTAGGGTATTTTTGAAATAATTCAAAAAAATGAAAAAAATATGAAAATAAGCATTGATGGTAAAAACACTTTCCAAAATATATAAAACAAATATCACAAATAAATTTTATATTTTTTGAATTTTTTTTTATAAATTTTTATGAATTTTCTTTTCTGAATATCCCCAAGTGGGATATCTAACTCGGTGCAACTTGGGCTTGCCAGGGTCACAAATATATTCTATATTTTTCAAAATTTTTTTATCAATTTTTATGAATTTTTTGTTCTGAATATCCTTGAGTAGGATACGTAACTCGGTATAACTTGGACTTGCCAAGATGCCAAGCCTGAGTATTTTGCCCAACTACTCCACACTTGGACCCAGTAGTCACATTTCTTTGAGCTTATGCTAGAGAAGATACATAAATAAATGTTCATAGAAATATAAAGAGAAGAGAAAAAAGAAATGGAAGAAATGAACTTTAAAAGACAAAATACGTGGAGAAAATATCATTAAAGTGATCTAACACCTAGATAAATCAAACGGTTAAATTTGTAGACAAAGTTGTTTATGTATCATCTCACTCAAGTACTTATTCAATAATCTTGTTTATAACAAAAAAAAAAAAAAACCAATTTGATCTGGCTTAAGCGGCCCAAACCAAATGATAAAGACACCCTGGCTTGTACTAGTTTTCAAAACCTAGACCATATTGTTGAATTATTTTCTCTTGGTCATAGTTTAGAATAAGGAACAAGTGGAACCATTTTGCAGTTTGGCCATACTTGTTTTATAAAACAAATTATTAAAATGTCCCTATTTATTTAGGATTTTAACCTAGAAAAACAATTTGGACATTTTTGAAAAATAGTTGAGAAGGTACTTGAGTAAAATTATCTTATTAAAGAAACTACTTTATTGATAAATGAAAAGAAATTATATAAAGTATACCTTAAATTTTGGATTATTTGAAATAAACCCTAAAATTTCAAAGCCTCATCCATATCCCTTTTCTCCACTTTTTACATTTTTTGACCAAAATAGTCTTCATCATATTCTTAGGACAGTTAAAACATCACAATCGACTCACTATTGTGATGGTCATGGGTAGTTTAATGTTTTGAGGCATTACAACATTTAAACAACCGTGATGGTCATTAAGAGGCATCACGACACTTAAAAAGCCATGATGGTCGTTGAGAGTTCTTATGCTCCATAATGAGGTTATAATGGTTAATTAGAACAATAATAGTCCAATAAACCATTACGGTTCTTTAAGTGCCACGATGCTTCAAAACTACATGTTACTTACAACCTGCCATGACCATCATGATTTACAATACACCATGATGTCTTCACTCTAAGACTAACGTGAAGGCTATTTTCTTTTACTCACCCAAAAAAGGATATGGATGAGGTTTAGGAAAGTTTGAGATTTATTTCCAATAATCCAAATATTTAAAAATAGTTTTTATAATTTCTCATAAATCAATTGATTTGACCAAATTAGAGTTTTTTTTTAAGTGGTTTGATTATTTGAATGACACTTTTTCTAAAAAAACGTTTTACAAGTAAATAAGCAAGAACATATATAAAGACATGTGAGGGAAAAAAACCCAAATTCTCCAAAAAACAAGAGAAGGGAAAAATATCAATCTCTATAAAGAAGAGGGTGTTACTTGATTTCACCTCTTTTTTAATACTAAGAATATTGAGTCGTGTTTGTAATACTTGTAATATACATTTATGTTTTGTTGGCCTTCATTCCATCCTCTACAAATGAGGTGAAATATAAAGCAGTATTAAGGTTGAAGCTAGTGCCACAAATGGAGTTCAATGGTTGCCAAAGGGGACCAAGAGTTGTTCAACATGCCATCTAATGGATTAAGAGGGGTATTACAACATTTAGCAATTATAATTGTTGGTCCCAACACAAAATAACACCAGAAATAATGCCCATAAAATATAAATAAATAAAATCCAATGAAAAAAAGGCTCAAATTTTTTCCACATGAGGGACTTAAGATTCTATATCAAATCCTATACATCGAGTCATCCAGTGACAGACAACTTAAAGAGTTCCCTTTCAATGAATCTCATACTTAGCATATTTATTTCATCTTTCTCTATAAATTTTCTTTTTGAGGAGTTAACCTCCTTTTACAAAGAATACATATCTTTTGTAATTTTCACATTCAAGGTCTGTAAGAGTTGAGATCTAAATATAACTTCTGCCTTAATTCCCTTAACTACTGCGAATTAGGATTAACAAGTTGTCACCTAAACATTTAATCCTATGTAATGAGCTACGCTTGTCACTAGTCCACTAATAACTCGTATAATAGGATGTCAACCAAGCATTTCTATAATTTGATAAAAGATATATAGAAATTAAATAATATTTATATATTTATAAAATAGGAAAAACAAATTTCACAAGGAATCCAAACATAGCATTAGGTTTTCCGTCTAGTGTTACATCCTATTACAGTTAAAAAATGGATCTAAATATATAGCATTGCCTCATATTAAACTTTTGTTGATTTCACATACACTATAATTGAACTTTTATACTATTATTGAAAAATAATTTGACAAGAAGGACTTGATAGGCCACATTTTTCAATATCTCCCACTTGACTGGAAGGCCCTCATGTTATCCATCAGAAATTTCCATATACCCACCAATATAGTTTTATGCACCATTTTTTGGAGTTTCTTTTAGCTTTGACGTATTTAAGTCCCATTGCTGCCACATGTTTCTCAATTATGTCTCTGCTGAAAGATTTAGTCAATGCATCTATGATCATCTCATTATAAGGTATGTAATCAATCGAGATGTCTCCATATTACATCACATGTCGAATATTGTGATACTTCCTGCGAATGTGCTTGGATATTAAGGTTATTTTTGAATCCTTGGTAATGAATTGCTTCCTGATCACTCAAGGGAAGAACCTTGATAGTGCAACTTGAATTTCTTTGTTCCTTAGATATACTTCGATATCCATTCTATTGTTTGCCAATGCATTATTATCGGGGTTTTTCTTTGATACTCTTTATTTTATTTGTCTTTAACAATATATGCTTCAAGTTATAATGTACATCTCTTCATTTAAATTTATATTGAAAAAGACAGTTTTAACATCGATATAAAACAATTCTAAAATAAGATTAGCCACAATAAACTTAAAAAATCTAATAGAATGAGATTTTTTTACAAGAGAAAAAGTATGAACAAAATCTATACTTTCTCTTTGGTTATACTATTTAGCAGCAAGTCGTGCTTTATATTTATTTATATTACCATTAGCTTGGTGTTTTCTTGTTAAAATCTATTTACAACCAAGGAGTTTCTTCCACTAGGCAAATCTACCAATCCCAGACATGATCTTTAGTTATGAAATCCATTTCTTCATACATAATATCAATCCAAAAATTAGATTCATTAGAATTAATAGCTTCTTTGTAAGCAGAAGGTTAAGAAGTATCTTACCTAACAAAGGCATAGTACTGACCTGAAGTGTTTCTGCAAATATAACTTTTGTTCTAAATGATATGATATACTTTTAATTCTAGAACTCCTCTTAAGCACACTATCATCTATAATAGTAGGTTCAAAAGGATGGCTCCCACTATCCATGTAGTTATCAATATTTTCTACATTAAGTTTAAAATTTTCTATGTTTTCATTCACTCCTTTATCTTTATCGAACTTATGTATATCTACAAGAGTAGGTTTGCCTATTTTGTTATGTTCTTCTTAGAAATGTGTATCCCTAAACTCAACCCAAGATTTGGCCTCATGATTATAAGACCTATAACCCTTAGCGGTATCAGAGTACCTATAAATTAGCATTTTCTAGTTTTAGCATGCAACTTGGATCTCCCATGGCTCGGATATGAACATGAGCATCACACTCCCAAATGTTTAAATGATCCAATCGTGGTTTGTGTCCAATCCACAACTCGTGAGCCATTTTATCTACGAATTTTGAGGGAACTCTACTTAAGATATATATAGTAGTGTGCAATGCTTCACCCCAAAAGGTTGAGGACAAGTTAGTATGACTCATCATTGAACATATTAAGTGCATCAGATTTTCTATAGATAAATGTAACCAAATCTTGAATAATCATCATTAAATGAACTAAAGTATTGCATACCCCTATGTGTTTCTATATTAAGTGGCTCACAAATATTAGCATGCACACAATAATATTGGAAGGGTTTTCTAGTCTTTTTTCTAGACAGACATAGTTCATAATTTTTAAAATCTAAATATGCCATTTTCAGAATCAGGGCTTGTTAATAAAAAATCTATTTTTACTAATGTGACTCAAACGCATATACCACATAAAAGAAGTCTCTTCATCGTACACATTCAAGTAAGAAAAAAAAAGATGAATTTCATTTATTTTGTCAACCAAATACATATCCCCTCGGATTTTCCCCAATACAATGACTTTCCTATGAACTCCAATTGAAACCTTCCCATTCTTGAAGCGATTTCATATCCCTTAACATCAATGTCCTAATCGAAATCATGTTACAACACATAGGATGGGCATAAAGAGTATCAAAGAGTAAGAAATTCCCATTTGGGATGGCAAATGTATAAGTGTCAATACGCAATACATCATGCTTGGAATCATTGCCAATAGAGATCATATGTCCTCTGGCTTTAAGCTCATTAAATTCCACACAACCTTCTCTAGACCTAGTTATGTATTTAATGGCCCCAGAGTCCACTCCCCAATCATCAATACACGCATTAATAATCAAACAATTAATCACTATACACAAGTAGTCATGAGACTCACAACCATGGTTGGGTGTTCTGGGTGCACCCTTGTTTGGGCACTGGGATTTAAAGTGTCTCACTTTCACACATATAAAACATGCACCCTTTGGTCCATTGTGCATAGGCTTCTTGTTTTTATTTTCAAAGTTGTCTTTTATTATTGTTCTATGGTTGATAATGTTTTCTTTTATTAGAGAACTCTCCGTTTTGAGGGTTTTAGTTTAGGCAATGCAAAGTGCATAAGATCTCCTTGAAGATTTATGATCCCTTTTGAATTTCAACTCACAAGCACAATTTTGAAGTATTAATTCCTTGCAGTTCAAAAGTAATGTAGTAACAGAAGATTCCTATCACCGGTGCCCCTCCCTCATGGGACGGGACACCTAACAATTGTATGAAGTCTTTTAATGATTTTATTTTGTGTCATGAGTTGATAGATATGCACATCTGGGGAACTAATTATATTTGGTCTAATAACTATATAGACGACTTAATTATGTCCAGGCTTGATGGATTTTTCAATTCTAAATCATGGGAAAGTGAATTTCCTTTTATGTCTTCAAAATCTCTCTTAAAGTTTTCTTCAGATCATGTGCATTTACTCTAGGATGACCTTTCAGGTTTGAGAGCTAATGGTATGAAAATAAGGAGGCCATAGAGATAGTTAAAACATTGGAAAAATATTTTTATTGGATGTTGGATGTTTCAAAACATTGGATCGGGATGGAACTTTAAGGCTGTTGGATGTTTTAAACATCGGACTGCCCTAATGACATCTGGCCAAGTAAATAAAAACATTAAAATAAAAAACTGTTTGATGTTTGTAATATTAGGCTAGGGCTACAATTAGGAAAAATAAAAAAGAAAAATGTCGGACATCTATGTAAATTTTTAGAAAAAGTGAACCATTATATAATACTGCAAATGTTTTCCGATCCATACGTCATCTTTTATCGACTTTTTATTGCAATAAATTGTCATTGAGCTTTGACAAGGAGAATAAACAACTTCTAGCTGCTTATTGTTGGTTGCCACGTGGTTTTATTTGGTTATGCATATTTTTAAC